CCGCCCACCTCCCCCTACCCATCACCCTACCCGTCACCCTACCCCCAGCCTTACGGCAGCCCCACTCGCAACCTACCCGCCCCCCTACCCACCCACACCCACAGCCCTAGCCCACCAATTTGATACCCTGTCCCTCCGTGAACCCACATGGCTTATGGATACCGGTGCCACACACCACATTGCATCAAACCCAGGTACTCTTTCTCATGTCTCTTCTCAAGCTTTATATTCACCTCACTATATCACTGTTGGTAATGAATCTAAGGTTCGCACTACGGCAGTTGGTAGCCACACCCTTCCCACCATCCCTCCCCTCTCCCTAAATAATATCCTAATATCCCCGATATTACTCATAATCTTATCTCTGTTCGCAAACTCACTCGTGATAATGACTGCACTGTTGAATTTGATGCTCATGGTTTCTCTGTGAAGGATCGTCAGACGGGGATCGTGATGCATCAGTCCAATAATGCAGGTCCTCTCTACCCGGTTGACCATCCAGCCTCTGCTCAAGCTCACGTCTCGTCCGTAGATCATCAAACCTGGCATCGTCGTCTCAGCCATCCAAGTCCTGCGGTCCTGCGTGGTGTCCCTTCTATTTTTCCTTTATTTAAAAATTATCATCAAACTCTTTGTCATGCGTGTCAATTGGGAAAGCATGTGCGCCTCCCATTTTATTCTTCGAGTCGAGTCTCTTATTTTCCTTTTCAACTTTTGCATACAGACCTATGGCAATCACCTGTGCCAAGTGTTACTGGTTTTAAATTTTATATGTTGTTGTTAGATGATTTTTCGCATTATTTGTGGGTGTTTCCTTTAAGACATAAAAGTGATGCTTTTACTCACCTAAATTCCTTTGTGGCATATGTGAAAAATCGTTTTAATACAACAATAAAATCTGTTCAATGTGATAATGGAACTGAATACAGAAACTCACCTCTTAAAAACATTTTTGCCTCTTTGGGTATTCTTTTCCGTTTTTTTGTCCCCATACTAGCCAACAAAACGGACGCGCCGAACGTACCATTCACACTATTAATAACACCGTTCGTTTGCTCCTCTTCCAGGCTCAACTTCCCCCTGAATTCTGGGTGGAAGCCCTCTATATGGCCGCCCACCTCTTCAACATTCTTCCCACTACTGTGTTAAACAACCGCACTCCTCACTCTGTTCTCTACAACTCTCCCCCACACTACTCTCATCTTCGCGTTTTCGGTTGCCTTTGCTACCCGAATATCTCCGCCACCGCCCCACACAAACTTGCACCACGCTCCTCTCGTTGCGTCTTCCTCGGCTATCCCTCGATTCAACGTGGCTATTGATGCCTTGACCTTCAAACGAACAAAATCATTATCTCTCGCCACGTTGTCTTCGATGAGCACACTTTTCCATACGCCCACCCC